CAACCATGTTCTTCTGATACCAAGTTTCTAAAATTCCCTTTTGTCATTGCTTTTTAAATTTGGAGGCTTTTTAAAAAAGTGTTCTGGTTTTTGTTGGGTCTCTTCATTGAAGTTTTTATGCCTCTACTATTTTATGTTGTTTAAAAGGGTAAAGGTATTACCCATTGACAAGGTTGCCATGTCTTGCCCGACCATAGGGGGCGGTGCTCATTTCTATTAATAAACTGAAGAGCCAGCGTTGTCAGAGACTACTCTGTGATCATGTGGCCAGCATGATTGCACAGAATGCTGTTTGATGTATTGTATGGTGGGTTTTTTTATGTTAACTGCCCTCGAATCGATCTCGACTCATGGCAAGACATCTCCAAGACCAGGGGTAGGCAACCTTTCCCCTTTAAGGGCCGAGGGACTTCAGCTCCCAGAAGCCTCAGCCATTTTGGCCAATAGTCCCATGTTGGCCAATAGCTCCTGGGATTCTGGGAGCTGAAGTCCCTCGGCCCTTAAAGGGGAAAGGTTGCCTACCCCTGTCCAAGACCCTCTATCCTCCACTGCTCTGCTTAATTCCTGCAATCCCTGCAAACCCGTGACCTCCTTAATAGAGTCCATCCATTGTCTTTTCCAAAGAATCCTCTCTTCTCATGATGTGTCTGAAGTACGACATTCTCAGTTTGGTCATCTTGGCTTCCAGAGAGGTTTCCAGTTTGATTTGCTCTAGGACCCACTTGTTTGTCCTTTTGGCTGTCCATGGGATCCTCAGCACTCTTCTCCAGCACCACATTTATCTCAAATGAATTGATTTTCTTCCTATCATCTTTCTTAACTGTCCAGCTCTCACATCTATACATGGTAATAGGGAATACGATGGCTTGTATGATTCTAACTTTTGTGTTGAGTTGTATATCTTTGCATTTTAGAATGCAAAGTATGGTGTTTACACCAGGGTAAATCCAATGTTAATTCTCCCTACAGAAAACTCATCAAAATCAATGGAAATTAATGTGTAATCAAACAAATAAATAGTAAACAGTATCAAGTATCAACAAGAAAAAATCAAACCACATTCTGTATAATCTAGAACATTTTCCTCAAATTGGTGTCTTCCAGATGTTTTTGGACTACAATTTCCATTAAACCCAACCTGGTACGTGACTGAAGGATGCTGCAGTCCAAGATGATCTAAAGGGCACTAGATTGGGAGAGGCTGATAATGTACTTTTCTTAGTAAGCATGTTGTTGTCATTGTGGTGGTGTGCCTTCAAGCTGACTTATAATGAGAACCTCTCACAAGGTTATCTTGGCAAGTTTTTTTCAGAGGGGGCTCGTTATTGCAATCCTCTGAGGATGAAAGAGTGTGACTTGCCCAAGGTTATCCAATAGGTTTCCATGACTGAGAGGGGATTCAAACCATGTTCCCCAGAGTCATAGTCCAATGCCCAAATCCACTACATCACTCTCACACTCTGGCTCTCACAGTTGCATTATTAGAGAAGCAACATCTTCAAAGAGGTTGCAATAGAATCCGATATAAATTCTAAGATATTTCTAGACAAAACTTTTCCTAAAGTACCTGCACAAGGAAACCAATTTCCAGTTTTTAGATCAAGGACTTATCCAGGTTTCAATAATTGTGGGATGATTCTGTTTTCATATGTTATATTATGTCACTAGTGAAAGAATATGGAAGTTGAAATCCAAAATATGTCGAAGGCTTCAACTTGAGGACAACTCAAATACTGTACATGCATGAGGCCGCTCATCAAATGCAATGCACACATTCCTTTAAAATATAGAGAGGCAAGAGCTCAAAATTTCAACTTATCTTGTACTATTATAGCAAGGACACAAAAGGGAGAGACAAGGGAGGTGGGACAGAGTTGGCAATATATGGCCCACACATCCATTTCTTAGACCACACATTATTTGAGGTATCAAATTATATTAAACAAAAGATCAGTTGGATCATTGCAGCACCATAAATAAAAAGTTAGTGTCATAGGAGTGCATGGATCAAGCACAATATGGCCAATCAGGACCAAACCCAACCCTTTATGTTGTTGCGTACCTTCAAGTCATTTCTAACTTTTGGCAACTCTAAGGGGGACCTATCATGGGGTTTTCTTGGCAAGATTTGTTCAGAAGAGGTTTGTCATGTCCTTCCCCTGAGGCTGACAGCATGTAACTTCCCCAGGTCATCCAGTGGGTTTTATGGCCCAGTGGGGATTTATACCTTGGTCTCCAGCCAAAAAGATGAACAATCTGTTCAGGCTGAACAGATTAAGCCTGAGATCTTCTTGGAAGCCAGGGCGATTAGACTAAAGCTGTCATACTTTGGCCATGTCATGAGAAGACAAGAATCATTAGAAAAGACAATAATGCAAGGAAAGGTGGAGGGAAGTAAAAAGAGAGGAAAACACAATACTAGATTGATACTCAATTAGGGAGTTCACGGGTATGAATGTACAGGACTTAAGCAGAGCAGTGGAGGGCAGGGGGTCTTGGAGGTGTCTCATTCACAGGGTTGTCATGAATGAGGGTCGACTTGAGAGTAGTGAACAACAAGAACAAACTCCACAATTGTAGTCCAACACTCAAACCTTTAAGTCACGCTGGCTCTCTAAATCCAACCTTACTGATGGTTCATATTCTTTTGTTTTCCGGCAGGATGAACCACAGGACAAGTAAAATGAAAGGAAATCAGAAGATTAAAAAAAGTGCTTTAACTCTCTCTGCCTCAATTCACTTCTTTTTTCCACCAGGAATAAACCTGTGCACACCACAACTTTCACTCTCTCTCCTCCTTCCCTTGTTATTGTTGTGTGTCTTCAATTGTTTCTGACTTATGGTGACCTAAGATAACCCTATCATGGGGTTTTCTTGGCAAGATTTCTTCAGAGGTTTGCCATGGCCTTTCCTTGAGGTTGAGAGAGTGTGACCTGCCCAAGCTCACCCAGTGGGTTTTCATGGCTGAGTTCGAACCCTGTTTTCCAGAGTTGTAATCAAAATCAAAACCTTTCTAATGCTCATATTCTTTGCCTGCTGACAGAATGAACTACAAGAAAAGCAAAACGAAAGGAAATCAGAAGACCAAAAAGTGCTTTAGCCCTCTCAGCCTAACCCCAAATCCACAAGGACAAGTCTGTGCACACCACAGTTCTCGCCCTCTCTCCTCCTTCCTTAAAGGGCCTCCAAGTAAACTGGAAACTGCCAGGTTGGGAAAGGGTATCCCAAAGTATGGGATCTCATCTTCCAACATATTCAGTTTTGCCATGGTTTTTAATTTTCCCTCTTTTTTCTACCACTTCCACCCTCGCTAATGCATACACTGTTCACTTGCCTTTCAAACATCTTGTTTATTAAAGTAAATGTAAGCAATAATGATCCTCTGATCACCAGTCAAATGAATGTTCAGCTCCATCCACAATGCAGAAATAATCCGGTTTGACACCACTTTAACTGCCCAGGCTCAATGCTATGGAATTCTGGGAACTGTAGCTTGTTGCGACACTGGACCTCTCTGACAGAGAAGGCTAAATGTCTCACAAAAGCACAATTTCTAAGATTCCCTAGTACTAAGCCATGCCAATTAAAGCAGTGTCAAACTAGATTATTTCCGCAGTATGTTTTGGACTTTAATTAATGCTTCTTAGGGGGAGTTGCAGACTGCCAGAAATAGTGCAAATTGAGTCCACTTTAAGGGTTAGGGTATCATGGGAACTGTATTTTATTGTGGCACCAGGGGTCTCTGACAGAGAAGGCTCAATGTCTCAGGGAAAAAAACAACAATTCCCATGATTCCCTAGCACTAACTCTAACCCTAAAAGTGGATTCAATTTGCACGATTTCTGGCAGTCTGCAACCCCTATTAGAGTCCAGAAATGTACTTTTGTGAGGCACTGAGCCTTCTCAGTCAGAGAGCTCTGGTTCTACAATAAACTACAGTTCCCAGGATTCCCTAGCACTGAGCCAGGGCAGTTAAAGCGGTGTCAAACCTGATTATTTCTACAGTGTGTTTCAGACCCTTAGTGGGCAATTTCATCAACATCAGGATTTTGTGACATCTGAGGAGACACCCTTCCGCCACAGGGCTTAATGGTTACACAACACATAATAATAAAAGGGGTTAAAATTTAATTCTGTTTTAATGTACACTCGTCCCTCCACACTTGAGGCTTTGACTTTTGTGGATTTGATTATTCACGGATTTTATTAATGTGTTCTCTCTAGGAATATCTAGGTCCTCCAACGCAACTCTGTGGTCAACTTTAACCAAAAGTTGCACTGAAGGACCTAGAGATTCCTAGAGAGAACACTCCACTAGACATTTGTAGCTCCTCAGCGCAATTCTATGGTCAATGTCTGGCAGATGTTGACCACAGAGTTGCACTGGAGGACCTGGAGATTCCTAGAGAGGTGTTCTCCCAGGTAAAAACATAGTGATTCTGTTATTTGCGGTTTTCCTACATTCACGGGGGTCCTGTGGCCCTAACCCCACCGACTGCGGGGGGGAGGGGTATACTATTTTTATATGTTTTTAATTGTATTTTTTTAAATGTTGTAAGCCGCCCTGAGCCCCAGTCCTGGGAGAAAGTTGGGATATTAATAATAATAATAATGATGCAAACAGGTTAAGCCCCTGAAGAACCGCTTTTCCGACACACGAGAATTAACTACCAGCCCGGCGGCCAACCATCGCGGTCTCGTCACACTCTCTCAGCCTCAGGCAAAGGCAGCCCCGACGGCCAAGGCCCCCTCCTCCTGGCTCTCCCTCCCGGGGGCCAAGGCTTCGGATGTACCTGAGGGCTCCCCGCCGTAATACTCCGTCTCCATCGCCCGGCCTCCCACTCCTACCGGGCAAATGGCGGAGGCGGAGGGCAACCGGGGGCTGACAGGA